TGTGTGTCAAGGTTGCATCCTTTCACCATACTTATTCAGTCTGTATACTGAGCAGATAATCTGACAAGCCGACCTGTATGAAGAAGAGTGTGGCATCAAGATTGGTGGAAGACTCATTAACAACCTGTGATACGCAGATGACACAACCTTGTTTCCTGAAAGTGAAGAGGACTTGAAGCACTTACTGATGAAGAACAAAGACAACAGCCTTCAGTCTGGATTACACCTCAACATAAAAATCCTCACAACTGGACCAATAAGTAACATCGTGATAAATGGAGAAAAGATTGACATGATCAAGGATTTCGTGTTACTTGGATCCACTGTCAACACCAATGGAAGCAGCAGTCAGGAAATCAAATGACATTTTGGGCAAATCTGCAAAAGACCTCTTTAAAGTGTTAAATAGGATTAAGATGTGCCTGACCCAAGCCATGATATTTTCAGTCGCCTTATATGTATGTGAAAGCTGGACAATGAAGAAGGAAGACTGAAGATGAATTGATGTCTTTGAATTATGGTACTGGTGAAGAATATTGAATATACCATGGACTGACAGAAGAACGAACAAGTCTGTCTTGGAAGAAATACAGCCATAGTGCTCCTGGGAAGTGAGGATGGCGAGACTTGGTCTCATGTACTTTGGACATGTTATCGGGAGAGACCAGTCCCTGGAGAAGGACATTGTGCTTGGTAAAGTAGAGGGTCATTGAAAAAGAGGAAGACCCTCAACGAGATGGATTGACACAGTGGCTGCAACAGTGGGGTCTTGTGAGGATGGTGCAGGGCCAGGCAGTGTTTCCTTCTGTTGTACATAGGGGTCACTATGAGTCGGAACTCACTTGATGGCACCTAACAACAACAAGCTTAATAAGGGTTTCACTGTTAAAAGAGAGGACCTTTTATACATATTTTAACTTTTATGAAAGAATTCAGAAGTTCATGTAGTATATACTAATAAAGTATTATCCATGAGAATAATGAACAAGAGGGCCTAAAGACACTCTAACATATATTATGAGGTTAAAGTTTAATGTGGCATTTAATAATATTTGCAGCTTACTTTTGTGTTACTGTGTGCTGTGAAGTCAATTTCAACTCAACCCTAATGTTTAAGATTTTAAGGCAAGTTTAGTACCTGCACATTACAGGTGCAGACATGGGAAAGTGGACTCTGTTGGCACAGTGAAGTATTCAGCATGCAGCAAAGATTTATAGAAATGTTATAAAAGGCACGGCAGGGACCTTGTACTTCTTTGCTGATGGCATCGTCACTACTGGAGTAGTATTTACTGTTTTTCTTATATGCCTGTTGACAAAAGGTGGTAAAATAAAGAAGATCAAAGCAAACCTGCTTTTTTATTTTACTTTCAAAGAGTCATTTGGTCTTCGTGCTACAGCCTGTTGGAAGCTATGCATAATGCTGCAGGCAGGCAGAATATTGTGCCTTTATCGCCACAGAAGCCATCAGTAAGTGGCATCGTTCTAGAAAACTCTGAGGGCAGCCTTTAGCTTCAAGAATGGGAACAGCAAAAAACCAGCTGGGTCTCTTTGTTCCTCAGGGATTGTTTTAGTCCATGTCAACCTGTGCTGCTTTTGTCATTTTCAAACCATATGAGGTTTTTAAGTTGCATTAACATGTGGATTTCTGTAACTCCTACTAGAAGCAAATTACAGTTCACCTTGGGGAATGCATTAAATATTTAAAAGATTACTGAATTCTAGTACTTTTGAAGAATTAATCATTTCCACTAATGTAGAAATGAGTGTAAGGATTTTGGTACTCCTGAGCCCTACTGAAAAGTAAATAACTTAGACGTAAATAGAACTCGTAATTTACCAGTGAGTGGCCATTCAATCCGGCAGTAATAATTTCTGTTTTCAACTACAGTCCTCAAGTAGTACAAGTCAGACTCTTTCCCATTTCAGTAATGTTTCTGTAAAGCTCACTGGGCTTTTAGAAAGGGAAATTTTAGGTATGCTTCTTGTTGGTTAAGCAGACTTCTCTCTGTAAGAGGATATTCTTGGATCCACTCATGGGCTATACTGTTTTCCGATATTAAGTTCATAAAATAAAAGCCTGGGAAGCATAAAATGCACATAGAAGCCTGAAGGTAGAGGTCTGAATGGGTGGGGGTGGGCGTGGGCAGGCTGCCTGCATTTAATCTTCTTTATAACACTGTGACAGCTAGTCATGAGCTCACTTCCCTTAGAAATCAGTGAGTTTGACTCTTTTCACATTCACTCATCTCATAGATTGTAGCTAGGTAGGCCAGAAGTACCTGTCAGCAGGGATGGGAAACAGCCATTGCTCAAGAGCCTCTTGGCCTGTTTTGTTCACAGTGGATGAGTGGTACCATTTTGATTGTGAACACCTATGATTGTTAATGTATTTTATGACTATACTGCAAACATTTTTTTTCTGACTATAAAGCCAATCCAGTTGAAAAATCTACCCTTTTACTCTGAGCAGTGTCTTATTTCAAGTTTGTATAGTCTCATTAATACATCATTTATTATTTTAACAGTTGAAACAAAACAGTTGCAAAACCTTATTTACTATTAGAAATTGTCTTAAATTCCTAGTGCTGCTGTGACAGTAATACCACAAGTGGGTGGCTTTAAAAAAACTTATTTTCTCACAGTTCTGGAGGTAGAAGTTCAAATGGACGTCTCGACCATGTTGAGTTCTTCCTTGTTGGTAGCCCCCAGGGTTCCTTGATCCCTTGGCTGTCCTCACATAGCATCTGTCCCCCCCACCCCCCCTCGCATATGTGAATATGTGTGTCTGCATCAAATCTGCTAGTTTTATAACTCAGAAGTGATTAGATTTAGAACCCACCCTACTCAGGTATGATCTAATTACACAACAGAGAAAACCCTATTTTCCAAACAGGATTACGTCCACAGGTATAGGGGTTACAATTCCAATACATATTTTGGGGGGACACAGTTTAATCCATAACATTGGTCTACATGCCCAAATTCTCATGGGGACTGAATGAAGATTCAATATCTGCAGGTGACTTACATGGACAAATGTGCCTTATCTAATTGAAAATCTTATCAGTCTTGGGGAGAGTTCAGGAGTTTAGAGTAGTACTCATTTTCCTTTTGGTGATATTTAAAAAGATCTCCCCATCCCCCTTTCCATATTTGACTTTGTTTTGGATTAAAGGGTAAAAGGAAAAGGAGAGTGGGAGAAGACTGTAGCCTCATGCCTCTATAGAGGTCAAGCCACAGTATTTCTAGAATTATGTAAGAGCTAACCTCTATATCCATTAAAGACTGAGTTTGAGCATTTAGGAAATGAATCTCAAATGTATGTATATGCTTTAAATAAGATGAAAGATGTATACTTCATGGGTAGAAAAAAAAATCCTTTATTATGATTATTTGCTCTTGGGATGTTTGCTTCCCTGTGATTGAATCACAGCTCTGACTAGGACACAGCTGGTTGGTGTCAGAGTAAGGATTTACACAGCAGCAGGACGAAAGCAGCTTGGCTTTGGAGCAGATGGATCTGGGTTTAATCCTGACTATGACTTTGAGCAAATCTCTTAACCGCTCTGAGCCTCAGTTTCCTTATGTGTCAGATGACAATATGGCCTCTCGGAGCTGTTGTGACTAACAAAGGTAACATCTAAAGTGCCTAGTACAGTGTCCGACATGAAGTTGAACATGTTCTAAAACGATAACTATTAACTTTTTTTTGTTTATTTTACCACACTGCCTCATGTGTTGTATGATGGTAATGACTTTTGGCCTCCTTTGGTTAGGATCTCATTTCTGCCAGTAAATGGTTTTAAGCATAGTATGTACTCTTTAAGAAAAAACAGCCATTTTGGTGATTTTCACACTTTGATGCAAATTGAAATTCTCCACAAGACCCTTCAGGCTAGAGAGTAAAGAATCCTGTCTTTGTCATGGGGAATATTCCAGTGATGTTAACAGAAAAGGAATACTATTAATTAGCTGGGCTTGGTGGAAGAGGACTGACTTAGCTCCAGTCTTCCATGGTATCCTCTGTGTCCCAGAGGTGCTGCCTAAAATATAATAAAAGCATATTAAGCACACTCATCCTCACCGCAATCCTATAAGGTACATGATACCATCACCCCAGTTTTACAGAGAAAACTGAGGCACTGAGAGGAGTTAAGTGAATTATCCACTGTTTGCTATTTACTCAGTGTACTCGGAGTTCCTGTTCCACCAAAGGTTTTAGAGAGGACGTTTGACTTGTCTGAGAGCATCTGGGGTCCCCTTTGGAATAAGTAGGTTTGAGAAAAAGTAAGGGAGTGTTCTGGAGGTGGGAGAATTGCATTTTGACGTTTCAAGCAGACTTGATTTTGATGAAAAGGTAAAAACAAAACAAAAAACTTTTTTTTTAACTTGTCAGTTGGCATTTTTAAATGCCATTTAATCTAAATTTGAATTTTAAGCAGGCTAGAAAGGGGGATCTTAAAGTAGGAAAGCTGATTTCATGAGAAAACAATTAATAATCACATGACTGTGTTCTTTGGAGAAAACAGTCTGAAAAAGAAGTAAAATTGGGTCAAGTGTTGAGAATTGCTCGGCCTGGCTGGTCATGACTTGCCAGGTCAGTGGGAGCTGACGGCAGTTTCCTGGATATAATGGAGGCAGATTTTCCCCCTTAATGGATTCTAGTTACTCATTTCTGTCCTTTCAACTTGGCTTGCAGAGGGGATGTTCCAAATTGTGATCTCTGTGGGAACAGGCACAGCCCTCCCCTTGCCTGTCTTCACTGGAGGGTCTCTGGTACATGGCAGATGTGCTCCTCATGACAGGTGCTGCCAAAGCTGTGTGCATACAGGCTCTGGGGTTATAGGAATGTCGGGAAAGCTGGGAATGTGTTCCTGTGTGCAAAGTGAGCCGTGGGGCACCAGCCATGCCTCCATTCATCCAGGCACTCACAAACATTGTTATGATAGAAAACTTGGCCAAAAAAACAGAAAGCCTGCTTGCCTTGAGCCCTTTCCCCCTACTGAGGAGTTTGCTGCTGCTTGTGCAAGCAAAACTCCATTTCTCCTCCCATCCTGCTGCTCCTGCCACCAAGAGGAAGAGGGAGCTGCCCAGCGGACTTACTTCTGGCTGCTGCACGTTGTAGCCTTTGGTGGGTGAATTCCCAGGACCCGCATCCCGGCAGGCTGCCGCCTTTCAGCCTGGGAGACAAGCGGCTCCCAGCCCTTCTTGATTAGGAGATGTCAGCGTTGTCAGGGCAACTGGTAACGAAGGCAGCGTATCATATTTGCCCCTCTTGTGTTGTGTGCTGAATATTTTACTGTGTGGTCACAGGAAGAAGATTCGGAAAAGGTGCTGCAGCAGGAAGGAGAAGCTGGGATCTGATTGAACAGGTTAGACAGTGGAGGGAGGCATTGGAACCTGTGTGCCTTTAATCAGAGCTTTTCTGGAAGGAGTGTGTGAGTGAGTGTGTGCGTGCGTGCATGTGCCTGTGGGGAGTAAGTGGGAGGGGGCTTGTTGGGAAGGTTGAGGGGTTGCTGCTAGGTGAGGGGAAACTGCAGGGCCTCAGTTGCCAAGTGGCTGGTAGTATCTGTCAGCTGTTTGCACACTGTTTACCCGTAGGGGATCTATTACAAGTGCTCAGATGAACCGGCAGCTTAGGAACTAGCAGCTTCCTGGGAGCTGCAATTCATAAGCATATATTTTTAATATAATAATAATTAAAAAAAAAAAAGCAAGTAGCAGCGGTATGCCGGGATCAGCTACAGCTATTCGACAAGAGAGACTGAAGAAGACCCATGCAAGGCCAATTCCCCTTGGTTTGTTCACCATTAATGAGGAAGATGAACAGCAAAAGAATGGCAATTCCAGAAGACAGAAAGGTATGCATTAGCTCTACCCTTTGGTTGGGGCTGGACGCGGCCCCACTTTCCCACACTGCCTATAGCACATTTTACAAACTGTACTTATATAGTGCATGCTGTGTGAAGTGCTAGTGACCCCCTAGCGCAGTTTGCCAGCGGGTGTTTACACACTCCGTAGAGTTGTGTGTGCATGAAATGAGGAACAGTTTTTGCAGATTTGGTAGATTTCCGATCAGCTGCCTTTTTGACCCAAGCTCCCTTGTTGGCCTAGAGATCTTTAATGTTCATGCTGACTTTTAACAGTTAATGCTGACTCAGTGCTCATCAGGAGGAAGAAATAGGAGTGAGCAAGGTTTAAATAAACATCTCCCTACCTGCTTTACGTGTACCAGATGATTTTTGTTTCTTTTAATGAGGTGAATTTTCTCCAAAGGAATGATTTAGACAAAGTGACAGAGTGCAGCCTTTCCGTGGGCAGAGGGTAAGGATGTTAGTTCCTTTTCTGTACTGAAATGCTTAAGAGCATGAAGAGGAGGAAAACAAACATTGAGGGTGACAGTTGAGGGCAAAGCTAGGGAACAAGGGAGGTATCTGTGAGGCTTTATAACTTCTGATGATAGCTCTGCCGCTGAATGCGCATACAGAAGTTGAAATATGCTGGGTATAGAAAAGGAGGTCTGATTCTTGTGCTGTACCTCACAGTGATGAGATGCAGCAGCAGCTGGCTCGGTTTCCTGAGTCTGTTTACTGCATCATCTTTAGCATTGTCTCACAGCCAGCCCTGCCAGGGCTTTAATTATCAGTCAGAGATGGCAGCATCGTGCATTTTTTGAAGAAGGGCTTTAACACTTGCAGTTTAAGTTTTCCAAAATAGATAAGCTTTTCTCCTCTTAAGCAGATAGGTTATAAGTTTTGTGGTTCTCATGTGCTGATTAAATTTGAGCTTGCATTCAAATTCTTCTGTCGCTGAGATATCAAATTTTCCTTAGCGTGGTACAGAGAGGTAAGATGGCAAAGTAGCAAGCAAATATTTAAGCAATCATAGAATGAGTGTTTACATAGACCCAGTGTCTGAACACTACTGGTTTTCTTTTTCCTGGTTCTTGGGTGAATTTCAGTTTGGTTTTATAAGGTATAATTGAAACTGTCTACTTTAAATCCAAAAGTGTATTTTAACTTCATTTTTAAAAGACTATACAGGGAAGTTCTAACAAGTAGGATCGTATTACTGTAATTGATTTTTATTTACTATTAGACATGGCCTCTATCTAAGTACCAGATGACCTCAGGAATCTAATAACAATGGTATGAATGGAAGGTGACTTATATGGTTCTTTTATTTGCCCGTGAGTTAGGTAGTTGAACCAGAGAGCGTGGCTCTTATTGAAAACGCAATACTTTAAATTGTTAATAGCAAATCATTTGGCCCTCTAGGGGTTGGTAACTTTGAAAATCAATGTGGTTTTGTTGAATTGTGCCCACAGTGTTATTTTTGGAAGTATTCTTCTTGATTTGTGGCACTTTTTCCTTGGGTGTCCTGGAACAGTAATTTAGAATAACCATCCATTTTGTTCTTAGTAATTTTCTTGAATAATTCTTCTGTCCTTCTCTCTCTCTCTCTCTTTTTTTTTTCTTTCAATTACCTTTCAGTAGTTTATTTGTGAAGGCAAGAAGAATGGGGGTGGGGAGGAAAGTAGGTACTTCTAAAACCTGTTTGTTTTTGCTGAGTACAGCTCTATGGATAAGAGAGACTAAATCAGAGAGTTCCTGATCCCCTACTGTTTTCCTTTTTCTACCCCTCCCACAAAAGAGAGAGAGACTGGAGGTGGGGGTGGGGATCCTGCGCTGATAAAGATGTCCAGAATTTTGTATATCCCCAAATGTCTCTTAATTTATAGACACGTTCAATAAAATAAGCAGATAAATTACCCTTGGCCTCCCTGTTTATGCTTCATGAAACTATTGGCTTTGATTCTAAATTCCTCATCAGGTCTATTTGAACAATAGGAATGTTCACTTTCTAGTCCAGTGCTGTCCAATAGAACTTTCTGTGATAATGAAAATTTTCTATATCTACTCTGTCCAATACAGTAGCCACTAGCCCCGTGTGGCTACAGAGCACTTGAAATATGGCAAGTATGACTAAGAAACTGGTTTTTAAATTATAGTTAATTTTACTTAATTTAAATTTAAATAGCCACAAGTGGCCAATGGTTACCTGGTTGGACAACACAGTCCTAGTCTATAGAACTATGACCTTCTGAATTTGTGTCCTTTCTGCTTTGTTCATCCTCATTGCTTTCTGCTGCCAGATGTGGTCGGGTCCTGAAATAAATGTAGTTATTAAGAAGGGCATCATGGAGCAGACAGTCTCTTCATTGCAAGAGAGCATGGTAACCTGGATTTACTGACAATTTCATCTTTCCTTTCCACTTAACTGTTGTTGCCTGCTCTGAATATAATTCTTACCAGTCATCAGTTGCCTGTACAATTTTTTGCAGCTTTTAATGGACTCTATTTTCCAAATTATTTCCAAAGCAACATAGCAAGATGAAATACAGGCTGTCTTTTATGTGTGACTATTAAGATAAGCAATCAGAAAATTTGTTCTCTTTTTGAACCACTCCCTGGTCTAATCAGCCAACCACGTCCAAACCTGATTTTTATGCTTAGTATTTTTTTTCTTTCATTAACAGGAATAAAGAGGCTTGCTATCTAAATTCAATAAGCTAAAAGCATCTGTCCAGGATTGCCCTGGGTTACATAGGGGGTTTTTAATGGTGAGTAGCATCCATCTATCCAGTTACTCGGGCTGTTGAATAACCATTATAATGAACTCAACAGGAATGAACGCATCAGTTACCTTCTAGACTCCCAAATGGTGACTTCGGAGTTATCTGGTGGAGTGAGACAGTAGTTTTGCTAGCTGGTAGACTAGGTAAATTCTTGAAGGAGTGATTGCTCTTCCATGCAATCAATAGGAATGTAAATGTTTTACATTGCCTTCTTATTAACATATAACATTTAAATAGTCATTTGGAGTGAGCTGGCCTTAGGCTGTTGCTGTTATATCTCAGAAACCTAAACCTCAGTTAATGCTGACTTCAGGACCCGCTTAGAAGAGATTGTTTAGGTACTACAGTAACTAAATGCCCTTGTGTAGGTTTCAAGGCGAACCTGCCTTATGGTAAATTTTGCTGAGCACAATGTGATTATTAAGTAATGAGACATTTTCTCCCTAAACCAGCATTTGCTAAACGCTCACTCGGTGCAAATTACTCTGCTGGGGCACTGTGGAAGGGATGCGAAGATAATTGACATGGTTTCTGCTCTCAAAAGTGTTTTCTGTCTTCTGGAAGAAGACAGATGTATACAAATAATGCAGGAGTATAAACTGAAATCAGGAGATGAGGAAGACAGGATGGAGTTGCAGAAATGTTAAATACGTGCTAAGTGTGGAACTATTAGCCTCAAGTTTTCAAACTGTAGCATGGGGGTTAAGTAATATAGGCTCCCATCCTGTCCCACGCCAAATGCATGGCTGAGCTTGGCAGCTCACATAAGCCTCAAGGCAGGAGCACAGAATGATGGGTGGAGAGGCCACTTTTAAATTTAGTTGTAGAACTTGGACATCCATACAATGTTTTCCTATAAGTAGTCATTTCTTGAGGCTCCCATGTTCATGTGAAAGTACAACCATTATACAATACATTTCATAACATCTCTTATGTAATAGTCTCCTGACCCATTTTGAGAACCAGCTAAAGAAATCATCTCATTGACTTTATACCTGTCTTGTTTTTCATATAAAATCTGATTGGTATCCAGCTTCAGTACTAAATTTACTCATGTGCCTTGACTCTGAGTGACTTTGGACTGATTTTGTAAAAATTACCATCACCCTTAAAAGATGAAAGACTAATTAATCACTCACTAGACTGATTATGGTCTCCCTGCTTTCAGTCTTGCTTTTTTCCATAACATGCCAATAATGTAATCCTTCTAATGTGAAAATCAGCCCATATCACTTGTATTTTAAAACTTCTCAGTGGTGCTGCTTCACCTAAAATAGAGGTCTCAACTGGCATCCTTGAGCTTTGTTTGGTCTACAGGTATGTTTATTTGGCCCCTGAACTTTTTTTTTTTTTAAAAAAAACTGAGTCAGCATTTAGGAACTGAGAGATTTTACATAACAATCTGAATTTCAGCTTCCCTTGAAAAACTAGAAGATGTGGCCATACTTGGTGAATGTTTTTTCATGGCAGCAATCAGCTGAAGCTAAGCAGCAGCTGCCACCTTAGATGGGTCATGCATGCATGCTCCTGTTTGCCACAATCCCCACCCATCTTCCAGACTGTGCATTACCTGGCCTGCCTCAGTTATTTACATTACATTAGTCGTTCGTATTTGTAACCCCTGACCTAAGGAATAAGTCCAAGCTCCTTAGGTTGGCACATGGACTGCCTATCGCCTGGCCCCTGGCTCCCTCTCCATCTCTTTCCTACCACTCTTTTGTTGAAACTTATGCTCCAGCAGCATCAAAGTGCTTGCATATTCCTGTTCTATCCTGCTATTGCAGGCCTGTGTGTCCTCATGGTCTTCCCTCTGCTTTCTTCACCTTTCTTCCTCATCTGGATAACTCTAACTCATCCTTTAGACTGAGATCAGGTGTCATCTCCTCCAGAGCTAGCTTGGTGTCATCTCCTCTAGAAAACCTCCTGTCTCCCTCCCAATCTCCCCTTTCCTGGGGACAGTTCCCCAGTTGCAACCCCTCATTGTGCTCCTGTGGCACCCTCAGTTCCATACTTAGTTCTGTCCTGACGCTTGTCTTAAAGGAAACATTGCCGTCAAGTCAATTCTGACTCATAGTGACCCTATAGGACAGAGTAGAACAGCCCCATAGGGTTTCCTAGGATCAGCTGGTGGATTCGAACTGCTGACCTTTTGGTTAGAAGCCTGAGCTCTTAACCACCATGCCACCAGGGCTCTGACCTTGTCTTAATGTAATGAAATTATCT